TGCTTCTACTTCTTCCTGTTCAACACTGTTTATCACGTTTGAGAGTGTTGAGATCAAACATCGACCTCCAGGCTGAAACATGAAGCATCAACATGAAGAACCAGAAGCTGCAGTTCCTCTAACGACCACTAGAGTCTGGCTCCAACAGTGAGTCAGTCCCCATAGACTCCCATGTTAAAATGTCCAACTTTACAGCAGAAATAAACATGTTTACAGCCTGGTACAAAAACTGTTTTGGTCTCTAGAGCTAATTTCCTCCTTCATGACCCCTGTGTATATAACTCACCTGTTTACATTTTATTAAGGACTAAAGTTATGGAGAATTGAGGGCGTGGCCTCTTTGAGTGACAGGTCGGTGAGCGTACGTTTGCCGGCTCCACCCACGACCTTCCTCTTTGCCCATTTTTGGATTAGCTGGCAGTTAAGAGGCGGAGTCAGACACTGCCAAGATGGCGACGGTGGAGCAGCTCACTCTGAGCTTCAGAAACCTGTGGGTAACATCACGGCGGCGACGGACATCTTTGTTTACAGTCTACGGTTGAGATGTACCAATACCATGTTTTACGATACCGAGTAACCGATCCGATGCCATTGCATTAAAAAGATTTGAACAGCTGGTATCGGATTGTATTCACCGATACCTGATGTGGTACTTTAGGAAGTATCAGAACAACTCTAGAGTTCCTATATTTATTACTTATTTTTTTTACTGTTGCTTAGTATTGTTTAATTATGAGTGTTTACTTCTGTTTGTTACTGTTTGGGATGAAAACAATGAGTCTGGCACTAATGGTCGTTCATGATGACGTTTCAACTTTGACTGATGAAGGTCTGCGGTCGGTTTGAGAGACAGACTCTGACTGTGTCTTAAATCTAACAAACAGTCAGACTTCAGAGAGACTGAGTCTGAATTCATCTGTTTAGTTCTTGACTATCTTAAGCCGGACTGTGGTGCAATGAATTCTGGGTAAATTGAGACTTTTTCCAATATAAAAAAATGGGTGACCGAGGAACCGCATCCAACCACTGAGCTCCGTTCACCTTCAGCAGAACATGTTAGTCTTCAGGAAGAATTCAACAGTTACAGGACGTTTTACTGAAGAGAAATAAAAAGAAAATGGCTGCCGTCTCTAAAACCTGTTTCCCTCCTCTTTGCTCTCTCCATAACAATGTTAGAAAACCACAAAGTATGAGCCATGTCTTCCTGTTACTTGTTGTTGGGTGCTACTGGTCAGGTCAGGTGTCATTGATTGTTACCATGGTAACATTGGTCTTAGGCCTGAGTTAAGCTGGAGGTAAAGTGTCTAATGTTTTCTCTTAAAATGAGTCAGTGTGTATTTTAGTGAAACAGCCTGACTGACATCAGACCAGCACTACAGACCAGTCTGACGTATCTGTGAGGAACTGACCCCTGATTGAGTCAGTACAACCTGTTGTCACCTGTCCATTGATGTTTCCAGCTGTTTGTTATTTCTTCTTCCCTTTAACTGATGTTTTTCTAAGATTTAGTCGTGTGTGTTACATTTCACTAAAACAAGGATCCACCGCTTGGTTCCAGACTAAACTGTCTCCACACAGAAACTTCAGCACAGACATTCATGGATACTCCATTATTATGCAAATGACTCTGATGGGTATCTGACTCTTTGTTTAGCAAACATTTAAATTTGTGGCCACAAACTTCTGTCGTTCCCATCAGCCTCGGCTCTACTTTTATCTTTAGCATGCTAACACGCCACAGGCTCTCACCGCCGTCTTCCTCACTCAAACCAGCTAACATTAGCATGTTACCACCGTCATTATGAGCGTGTTTTCATGCTGACCTCACAGAGCTGCTAGCATGGCTGTACACTCTGTTAGTACTGTTTATTAGCCTCTGTGTGTGGAGACTGCGGCTGAGTGGAGAAGCAGGTAAACCACCGAGTACACACGTGCACACACTAACACTGACACTGATTACACATGCACTGACCCACGCAAATACACACGCAGACATACACCCTTTATGCAGAGCATTGACTTCCTCACACACACACACACACACACACACACACACACACACATATATATATATATAGAGCATGTACAGGAAATGTGCAGCCTGCAGAAGCAACAAAGCGTCATTTGCATGAGGAACGATGCGGAAGCGAAACCAAAGCTCCTTATTGTGCTGCACGGTGCTCTGACACACTGCTACACTCTCTGCCTAACACACACACACACACACACACACACAAACACAAACGCATTCACATGCGTTATGTGAGGACACTTAACCATTCATAATACGTCCTCTCACCCCTCACTCTAACCCCAATTTAAACCTGATTCTAACCTGAACCCTAAAACTAAGTCTAACCCTCACACTCACACACACACACACACACACACACACACACACACACACACACACACACACACACACGCTGCTTTCCCTGCGATTTGAATGAACAAACAAAGAGGCCACTGGACTTCTGGGTACCTGGAGGAAATGAGAACCAAACTAACTGCAGTTGTCGCGGCAACAGTCATACTCCATAATGCCATTCAAATTCTGCTGCTCTGTTATCTCTCTCACACACACACACACACACACACACACACGAACAAACACATACACACATTTAGAACGAGGACGAGGGGGGAGGGAGGGAGGGAGGGAGGGAGAAGATGCTCACCCAAAGGCCATTCATTTGGACACAGCTGCTCGTCAATACACATGATCATCATCATTTCGTCCTCTGTGTGTGTGTGTGTGTGTGTGTGTGTGTGTGTATGTATGTGTGTGTGCGTGTGTGTGTGCGTGTGTGTGTGTGTATGTGTGTGTGTCTCTGTCTGTGTGCGTATAACTCCCTCTCCATGTGATGCTGTCAAGGGCACAGCTTGCATCCGTCGTACCAAGCCGTGGTCACCATGGCAACAGAACATACACACGCTTCCTCTTCTTCTTCTTTTTGTTTTTACTTTCTTTATTTTAACATACTAGTGTGTGTGTGTGTGTGTGTGAGAGTCACTTCCTGCTCAGGTTTTTAACCAATCAGTGAACAGGGATCGACGTGAGGCTCTCAGTGGCTTTCTGTCCACTACTGTTGTTTTGTTTTGTTTTTTCATTTTCAGTGTACTTCTCAATGTACCAACTCTGTGGTTACCATGGCGCCCGTATCCATTTGGTCCCCAGTCCCTCTCTCTCCCTCTATCTCTTTTTTCTTTTTGTTATTTCACTTCATTCATTGGCATTATCAGCTGTTTTTCATGTTTTTTTTATGTCGCTGCTGCTCAGCTGTTCAGTCGCTTCTCTCTCTCCCTCTCTTGATTTATTTATTCGTCTTACAGAACCGAACTGTCCGTCTGTCTCCGTCTGTTGTTGCATGTTTACTAATTAAAGGAATAACCTGAATAAATGAGAGAAGAAGAGCTTGATGTCTCACTGAGCGGTGTGATGAAGGTGTGAATCTAACACTGTGATTTATTATTATTATTATTATTATTATCATTATGAAAGAGAGTGTGCCGAGTGACCATAAGGTTCAATATGTGTAAATGTTCGGACTCTATGATCATGTGCAGGAGAGAGATGGTAATGAGGAGGAAGAGGAGGAGAGGAGGAGGACAAACTGGGAGAAAAGCTGCACAGTGATCATCAGCCTTCATCACATGTTCATTTATCAATACTCATCTTCATCACTAATCAACTTACAAATGATCAATTATTTTTACTTTCTGCCATAGTCTCTCTCTCTCTCTCTCTCTCCTACTTCGGAGCAGCCGTTGACATTTGTCACGTTCGATGTCCTCATTACCCACCTAACACACTATAGCATGTGCACAATCTGCAAGCACTGACGCACATCCTGTGTGTGTGTGTGTGTTTGTGTGTGTGTTTGTGTGTGTGTGTGTGTCCATCAGTACACAGAAATAGATCATGCAAAGCAGAGATTACTATCTACACCTCAAAGCACAAACGTGTGGGCCTTTAAACTTCAGTGTCTCACACACACACAAACACACACACACATGCACAAACACACACACACACACACACACACACAGTCGTGGGTGAGAGCACATTTAGAGGAGGGAGTGATGTGAGAGTGAGGGGGGAGACAGAGAGAGACAGGGCAGCGTTTGGATGACATCGTTCATCTCATCCTTGATACGAAGCAGTCATGGCAGAGGAAGAGGAAGTGACACGGCTGACGCACACACACGCACACACACGCACACACACGCACGCACGCACGCACGCACGCACGCACGCACGCACACACTGTACCTGGTTATAGAGGACCTCACTGAACTTCTCAGGTGTGAAATATGACCTAAATTTCTGAGTTTAAAAAACTGACTTTCAACCTTGACTTCATGAAATCTGCATTAATGATTATTTATCAGTGTAAATATTGAACAGGTCATTTAATGTCACATGTTTTACCGTCGCTTCATGTCTGATTCTTCTGATGAAGCCTGCATCCACTTCACTTTGTTGTTTCAGAGTGAAACAACCGATCGGAGAAAGGTGAAGGATGATACTGGAGTATTTTGTCATTGCAGATTTTGTCTAGATTTGAATGCGATTCGGAGGAAATCTTTTCTAATGATCATTATCAGCTCAGCAGAAAGTTTCCTCTGTCATCGTGGTGTCGTCTCTTAACAATCCCAAGAAAAGTGATGTATTTTCTAATTTTATTACGATGCTTTTCACATTTTTTCAGATTATAAAGACAAATATTTCTTGTTCTTAGTGCAATTGATTCAGTTGTAACAAGAAATGTTGTTATAACAACAAATTATACTGTGATATTTTCTTATTACCACCCAAAATCATTGATCTGATTGAAATAAAAACATTTTTAATAATAATGAAATGAGAAACTTTGATTTGTGCCGTTAGAACAAAAAAACTTCCACTTAAACATGAAAAGGTTCCTGTTTTAACAAGAAACTGAGCAAATATTAATTTTCATTTTCATCATTGCATCAAACTGTTTCCTTCATCTCTGTTTGGCATCACGCAGCTTCACAGTTTCTTCCTCTTCACCCTGAAGATGAAATGATTATATAATATAATAAACAGCTGCAGAGTCACTGCTGCGGAGCAGAGTTACACCCCAGCACGTTACAGAAACTTTACATGTTGGCAGAAGCCGCCGTTAAAGTGAGCTTTTTCATTTACACTCCCGGCCGAGGTGATACCTCCGGTAACGAAGCTGGCCGGTTGCCCCGGCAACCAGCCGGGAAAAAGCAGCAAGAGTAATTCTGGTTAAATGAATACAGCTCAACTCTCTGCTTGTCTTGCCGTCTGTTTCTCTGTGTGAGCCTCTCCCTCTCTCTCTCTCTCTCTCTCTCGCTCTCTCTCATGACAAAGGCATCAGCCATTTTAAAATCATAATGATGGTTATTATTACAAAGAAAGTCTCTTCCCACCATTTTCTCCTTGTTTTTCAGACGCTCTCACTTCCTGTCGGGAGATTAAAATGATCTTATGGTGAAATTTCTCCATATTGAAATCATAGTTTAAACAGGGTTCAGGGAATTTAGGGAATTTACTTGAGGTAATTTTACTTACATTCATATTTTTTATCTGTTTTAAAACATTTTGTCCACCGGAATCATGTCATCTTCATGTCATACATACATACTAATATTTTGTGTCACTGTCCACCTGCTAACTATTATATCTATCCTCATGTTTGACCTCAGCTCACCGTTTCACCTGCTGTAATGTTTAAAGCTCCTCCAGTGTAAAGGTCTGTGTCCATGTGTAGTGTGATTATAGATCAGCTCTAGCTTCTATATTAATACTGTGAAAGTATCAAAGCCTCAGTCCACAGAGAAATGCACACAGCCTGTATTCAGAAACTGAGCCTTAAAACCAGCCGTCAGGACTTCTGGAACTTTGTGATGTCACAACAAAGCAGTCACCAAGCCCCGCCCACCTGGACCCACCATCCAAACCTTGCAGGATTTGGTTTGTCTGAGTGTTTTACCTGAAATCTGCTTTATTTTTATTGGATCACTCAGAAAACAGTGAGCCAATCAGAAGAGAGGCTCAGAGCCTCCTCTCTTCTGATTGGCTCACCGACCTGTTGTTACTAGAGCTCCAGAGAGAAGCCTGAGAGAGGAGATGTAAAACTACACTGAGATGGTTTTTATATCTTCTTATGGATCAACACTTCAAATAAAACACAGAAGAAGAAGAAACATGGAGCTTTAAAATATCTTAATTTCCTGTCGAATGGTAACTCTACCTGTATTTAGCTTGTTGTGTTTGAGTGCAAGCTATATCCATCACACACACACACACACACACACACACACACACACACACACACACACACAGTCATCAGTTTGGCAGGTCCTACCTGGTGTAACTGTTTGTTCCCTGGTCCAGTTTAGCAAGTCCACAACTGGTCACAGTCCCTGGAGGGACAAAGAGACAGACAACATTTTAAAGACCTGTTTGTACTTTGTGATGTCCCACTGCATGGCCCAAAGCTATGTGTGGACACCCTGGTCCTGATGCATGTGTGTACATTTGGATTGAGGCTGTTTTGCCTCCAGTTCCAATTCACAGAAACCTTAAAGCATCAGTCAACATTTAGGGAAAACATGCGTATTTGTTTTCTGCTGTTGAGGTGAGACCCTCTCATATCTGTCAGTTAAAGTTAGCTTAGCTTCACTCGAAGCCTGGAAACAGGGGGAGACAGTTAGCCTTGCTCTGTCTGAAGCTAACAAACCAGCATCCATAAAGCTAGCCTAATAATATTATATTTTATCTTAGTGTTAAATTGTTAAGATATCTGACCCGCAGTTACTTGCTTGTTTTATCTTTGTCTATATGTGTTTATTGTCATTCTGATTTAATTCGTACAAAACTAAAGTGTGAAAATGACATTTGATCTCCACTGGTTTCTTGGCAAATGCTCCACACAAAGGACTGGTGGCAAATTGTTGTAGCATAGCCTATTTTCCAAAGCTAATAAGTGTATTTCCATCCAGCAGCACACAAGGATAATTCAGACAGTTGCTCCAAGCTTTGTGTTTGAGCCGTCCCTGTTTCAGCAGGACAGAGTCCCTGAGCACAAAGCCAGCTCCATGGTGTGAAGAGTCCTGACCTCCACCCCATTCAGAACCTTTGGGATAAACTGGGACTCTGACTGTGAGCCAGAGCTAATCACCCAACACCAGTGCTGGGCCTCACTAATGCTCTAATGCCGCGTATGAATGGAAGTGAATCCTGCAGAGAGGCTCCAACACCTGGTGGAAAAGGATCGTCCACATACTTTTGGCCATGTAATGTAAAAATTAAAGCACAGATTGTGAGCATTTTAAAAATGTTTTTAAAAGGTCAAAAGGTCACGAGTCTCTCAGCGTATAAATGTCAACATTGTGTTTAAATCTATGTTGGAAAAATAAGAAAATAGCCGTGTTGTTTTTGTAAAATCTCCCCGACAACAGCGGTGACATGCTGATCCTGCGGTTTGTAATCATAAATTTCTAAAAAACTTCTCCGCTCCCCAAAGTCTCTGTTGTTGTCTTAGTGTTTGACACTGACATTTCAAAACCCTTCGATGAATTCAACAATAAACAAATAAAAACAGATGACAGGCTGTTTCAGTGTCGGATCACGGGTGTCATCCGTTTGTCATCTTGATTTTCACTTTCCTTTTGTCACTTTTTTCTTTTGGGTGTTTTTTTTTTTTAAAGCCCGTTGGGGTTTCTGTTCTGTCTCACTCGCTCAGATTGGATTTCTTTTCAACCCCTGATATTTTTTGAAGTGTTTTTATCTTTTGTATGGATATGCAAATAACTCAACCTACACCTAACGCAGTAACTGTGTCTGTGTTTTCATTGTACCACCACTAACACTCACTGGGCAGAGAAGCCTGGGAGCGGCACACAGGTCAGATTATCACAGTGATGTATGTTAAGGTTTATCGTTTTATATTGATTTAAATACAAACACATTGAATTTACTTATTATAGATCCTCAAATTATTTTTAAAAAAAAGCTAAATTACATAATTTTTGTAACGCAAATGTTTTTTTTTATAATACAATTATTTATCTATTATTAAAAATTATTTTGTTTTATTTATAATAATTTATGAATATTATTAAACATATTATTTGAAAATTAAATTTATCATTATTAATAATAAGATTTGTATAATACAATTATAATACATTTTTCTACAGATTTTCTTTAACTTTTTTTTTTTTACATTTTGTATTGATTTGAAACGAAAAATACAAACAATCTGAATTTACTTATCGTAGTTCCTCAAATAATATAAAACAAAAAAAAGCTAAATTACATATTTTTTGCCGTAAAAATTGTAATTTTATAGTAAAGTTTTCACCAGGTTGTCTTTATCTTTTATGTTTTTAATTAAGAAAATTACATTTCATAGATTTACTTATATACATATATAGACTGACATTAAATATTGACACAGTGTCATTAAGAAAGCACCACAGACGTATTTTGAGAGGTCAGTTACTGTAAATAAATCCCCCTCAGATAAACTTACCCTACACCAACAGTCGTCATCAGTCTGCTCATTCCAGGAAGCATTTAATAACGAAGTTTGTAATTTACTATTTCTTGATTTCCCTACTTTACCTAAACCTGCCTCGTGTACGTCATCTAGATTTCCTACATTTCCCAAAATGCCTTTGGACATCCCCCAGAGAATAGCAGGGTTTTACATACGCATATAGAGAGACGGTGGTGAAGCATGAAAGTGAGAGTTTCACACTTTAGTCAAAACTCTACCCCCTGGTTTTGTCTTTTAACGTGCTCTGGTTCTAGTTTCACGTCTGTGGGGACGACCATGTCAATTTCTCGCCGTATGACTGTTGAGCAGTCGTGCAAAGTAGCGGCAGAGTGACTGATATCACACACTGATGGTTACTGGTGATTTAGATGAGTGAAACATTTATTTTAACCATACTAAAATGGAGCTGCTGGAAATAACATCTATATTTGATCAATTATCTATCAATGAATATGAACAATGACATGGTTTGAGTTGTACATGATTAGAGTTGGGGGTTTGATTTTAATTCATCTTAATTTGATCTTAATTTAATTTAGTTTTAATAAATATAAGTATCATCAAAATCAATTTATCTAATCTAACTTTATATTTAAGAGCTAAAACCATGAAGACTAACAGTCCAGGAAGTAAAGATTTATTCTTTGGTGAAATGTCTAACTGAATGTTTTGTATGTTGCTCTTTGATCATTTGTTGAGAGATTTGTTTGCTTAAAGGATAAACTGGGATAATTTAGTTAAATAAACTTGTTTTCTCACCAGGGGCCAAATCATCTCTGTGCTTGTTGGTTTAGCCGCTAGATGTTTAGCATTGTACAAATATGGAAATCAAGGGGAAACTACGAGCCCAGCTCTGTCAAAGGTCTGTTTATAAGTTACATCTCTTGTATTTCACACTTATACAAACAGAAATCAAAGACAATGGGGTTTTTCTGAGCTGTTAGCTTATAAACAGCTAATGTTAGCGCAAACAGCAGGGCACAGTTTCATATGTACATGAACATTTTGCACATTTTATTTAGTCAAACATCCCAAGTTAGCCTTTGATGTGCTGCTAACTTGCTAGCTAACTTGATACGACGCCAGAGGCTAGCTAATTCCCTCTGCTACCAGCGTATGCGCTAAGCTAGGATGACATGTCCTGAACCTGTAAAATTAAATACAACAACAACAATTTCAAGCATTTAACTTAAAGACTGTTTCACCCAATCATCCAAAATAGAGTCAGCTAGTAGAAACCAACCCTAACTAGCTGGCTACAAGCTAGCTGCTGTGTTAATTCATTGCTAATGCAAACCAGAGAGTTCCTACTGCTTCACATCAGCAGCTTTCCACTAAACGTCAGGGAGGGTTATATTCTTGAGCAGCGACAGGGAAACGTAATGTAAACTCTTTGTGTTTGTTGTTCACCTAAAACTGATTTACACAACAAAGTAAAGATACGTTTAGTGCCTGTAGGTCAACAACTCAACCCTGTTTCAACAACTAAACCACGACAACAAATACCTTTTGTAGGAAACTTAATCGTGAGCTGGATTATTTTCAAAAGAAACGGGTTTTCTGAATGAATGAAGCGCGACTGTTATTTGACCCAGATAACAAAATGAAACTTCTGGCCCTACGTATGCCTGGGCCGAGTCTGGCCCACATACACATCTGGCTCAAGTCAGAAGTAGTCCAGATGTGGAAGTAGCATCTTACAATCATGCTGTGAATGGGCCAGATTTGGGCCGAGGAACCGAGTGTGAACTGGGCCAGAAGAAAAGTATGGGCCGGATTTGATGGGTGTGGTGGATAATCGGTCACCAGAAACTTTGTCCTGTCCGTGGCAACAAAACCTTTTCGGTTTGATTTGGGAAAATCGTGTTTTTTTCTTTAATGTTAAGAAACAGGTTGTGTCTGAAGTCAGTGTGAACTTTTTCTGTTTTAAATCCAGACCAGGATCTTTTCCAAACCTGAACCAAAGAGCTGTGAGAGTCTGAACAGAACCAGAAACAGTTTGATAAACTGGAGTCACAAGTGGATTTCGTTCTGCAGAACCAGATATATTGGAGCAAAACAAACTGTATGTGAATATTTTACTGATGTGTTCAGTGTCAACACATTTGCAACTTGCCAAATACGTAAACTAAAAACGTACCCTCATGTCGTTGGTAGAAAATGTAATCTTGCCACCTTTTATGTGAGGAAAGAAGGGACGAGCCTCGTTGTATGGAAACCTAATTCCTACAGGAGACAGGGTTTAAACGCTAAGTTTCACATACTGCAGGTGTGAATTGTACAAGAAGAAACGGTCAGTTAGTTACTGCTCTCACACCTTCAATATGTCGTCAAGGGAAAAGCCACCTTTAACGGGGTTATTCAAATGAGATAGTGGCTCAGTACAGACCATCCCCACCCCTGTGAAAAGCTCTATATGTGGAGTGTTCCTCTGCGTACAGTACGTTCACGCTGCACGTGATGTTTAATCCATCCAGTGTAGTGGCAGTGTTCAGGGAGGGGGGAGGCAGATAATGGCAGTTTGGGATTTTCTGATTACAAAACACTGATTTAGCTTCACTGTCTGATGCATAAATGTATGAAGTGAAGCTAATTATGAGCTGAAGAGAAAGTAGGCCAGTTTGGATAAAGGTCTCTCTCTCTCTCCCTCTCTCAATCATCATCCTGTTGTCCATTTAAAAAGCCACACACACACACACACACACTTACACCACACACACACACACACACACACACACACACACACACACACACACAGACCTGACAGCCTCCCTTTGAGTAAAGAGAGATCCAGTTACAATATCTCTGTCTCACACACACACACACACACACACACACACATAAACACACACACACTCTCTTTCTAGCAAGCACAAAACAAAGGAGAACGATCATGTGTCCGTTCCTGTTAAAAAGCTGCGCTGTGATTGGCTGGTGTAGAGCAACAGACCTGTCAATCAGCAGCAAGGTGATCACTGATTGGCTCTTGGGATGAAAATTGTCCTCAGCTGACTGCAGAGAGAGGGAGAGTTTCCCTTTATACAGCTGAGGACAACACACACACACACACACACACACACACACACACACACACACACACACACACACACAGATGAAAAGTGTGTCAGCAGCTGACAGAACAGACACACTACAGCTTGGAAACCTCTCATCCTTTCTCCTCCCCTCTTCCTGCTCTCTGTTCCTCCTCCTCTTCCTCCCATCTCCTCTTCTCTGCACTTGTTTCCTTTCCTCTTCCCTCCTCACCTTGTCTCCTCTCCTCTTATTTACATTCTTCACCCCTTTTCTTTTTTGTTTCTTTACTTGATTCCTTTTCTCCTGTCCTCTCTCCTCTCGTCTTGTCTCCTCTCTTCTCCTTCATCCCTCTCCCTTGTTTCCTTTCCCCTCCTCCTCCTGTTTCCTCTCTTCTCCTCTCCCAACATTTTGTCCTTCTTTTTTAACTTCTTTCCTCTCACGTTCTCCTCTTTCGCCTCTTCTGTCCTCATCTCACTTCCTTCTGTCCTGTCGCCTTCCCCTTTTCCATCTCCTCTCATCTCCTTCACCTTTCTCCTCTTCTTCCATCATCCCTTATCTCCTCTTCCTTCCTCTTTTATCCCTTCTTTTTGTACTGTAGGTTGCTCTCACTCCTCCACCACCAAGTGTATTTAGTGTTTTTAGTGTGTGTGTGTGTGTGTGTGTGTGTGTGAGTGTGTCTGTGTGTGTCTTAATAATTTAGCCATCGCTGTCAGGACCTCGCTCACCGGAGCACTCTCAGGTTCCTCTACAGCTCTCAGGTGATCACACACGCACACACACAAACACACGCACACACACACACACACACACACACACACACACACACACACACACAACTGTGTTTGAGGTCCATCACTGATCCACCCTGAGGCGTCACAATAACAAACTGTATGAGGCAGAGAAATGACTCAATGTGTCCTCTATTGAATCTAGTATTGAAGAAGGTTAAAGGTCACACTCTTCAAACCTGATGAACTGGATTTCACTTGGACCAAAACTCCATCTTTAAATCAAGTTAATGATGAATTATTTGACAAAGCATCAAAAAAAACAAACAAAAAAAAACCCTACGGATTCCAATTAATCTGAAGTGAGACGGAAAAAACAAGCAGGTGTTCAAATCTGAGACGCTGTAATGAGCAAATGATGACTGATTGTGAGTGTGTGTGTGTGTGTGTGTGTGTGTGTTACTTCATCACACCATGCCATACATCTGAAGTCATTTCAAATTCTCCAGCTATGATGCGTGTGCGTTAATTGGCAGCAAATGCAACCATATCACATCTGCAGCCAGCTAACACACACACACACACACACACACACACACACACACACACACACACACACACACACACAGAGGCAGACAGGAAGAGAGGCTGACGGCTACAACAACGGATACACACACATGAGAAAGAAATGAAAAGAAGAAATGGGATGAATTCAACATGAGAAACGAATCCGTAGAGAAAATAAAATCCAAACAGGCTTCCGTACTTTTAACAGGACGGCACCAACGTCCGCCTGAGCTCATGACACTGAACCGAAATGCACAGCGTTCCTAAACTAGGGGGACTGGGGGATGGTTAGGGTTACCATCATCCCAGATTCAGGTCCAAAATACATTAAAGAAAAAAAAACCTTTAACAAAAAGAAACTTATTATAACATGCACGAAATTAAGATCAAAATAACCATGGCGATCAAAAAGAAAGTGGCAGACAGGTGAACAGGTGCTCATATCACCACCCAGATCCATGTGACCCGACTCTCCGTCATCACCATGATCGCTAATCAATGAGATCACAAACACTAAAGCTGACGGACACAGCTTCCTACAAACAGGAGTCACCACGCCCTTGACCTTTGACCTTTCACCCCCAAAATCAGTTCATGAATGAATGTTTGTGCCAAAATTAAAGAAGTTCCTTCAAGGTGTTACTGAGATATCGTGTCCACGAGAATGAGACAGACGGACGGACAACCTGAAAACAATATGGCCGCCGCTCTGGCTGTCGCCGGGCGGAGGAATAAAAACACACAGATGCTGTCTAAAAAAAAAAAAAAAAACAACAACAGCAACAACAAGCTACAAATAATCAAACAAAGACAATGAACAACAAATACAATTACCCAGAAATGGAAACCACTGACTTCGTCTAATGCAGCAGTGGTAGCTAAGCTAGGCGGCTAAATGCTAGCTGCAACGGGCCAGTGTGACACAGCTGCTAATGCAGCAGCTTGTTGATGTTCTTTCACTCTTCTTTTTGCTCTTTTGCCCTCCCTCCATTTTCACCCACAGATGTTTATTTTCCTTTCACACAGGTCGACACACGTCGCAGCGTCAGATCTGCTGCAGCAGTGATTTCTGTCCTACACTACACAACTGTAGTGTGTTGAATATCGGTAAGTGCACTTCACACTCACACACACACTCATACAGAGCCCCCACAAGGCCTGGGTAATACATTAATTGAATGTTTAGTGCAGAAAATCAACTCACACTTCGTGCACGTTCTCTGTGGTAACAGTGTGTGTGTGTGTGTGTGTGCACGGACACTCGCTCCTATGCACTACACCACGATGGCCATCTGAGGTGGCAGTGAGACAGATGGTACGTAGGTCGGCCTTTCCCTGTGCGTACTCTCTCTCTCTCTCTCACGCACACACACACTCACCAAACGATCTCCACGGCTACAGGACTGTGACCTCATCACCACCGCGGACACAGAGTCAGGACAAGTTCCTGCTTCTTCTTTGAGCAGCTTCAGTAAACAGCAACAAAGCGTTCCTCATCCTCGTCTGAGGTGGGTTTCATTTTTCTCTTTAAGTCACGGCTCATTTGTTTCTTCCATTTTCTGAAGCTGCAGCGCAGCTTTTCATCCTTTCTATAAATACCACCTTTACACTGTCAATCCTTCGTTTAAAATTAGCTGCTGCCCCTGACAACAAAGACGGTAAAAAATAACGACGTGATAGTAAAGTTTGTAAAAAATAAAGCTCATATTTAAATCAGATTTATTTATTCACTTACTTACTGCAAGCTCTAGTGCAGAAGTTAATGTTTGATTTCCACCGGCTTTATTTCAGCTTCCTGTCACATATTAAACATCAAAGAAACACAGTCATGTTGGCAGCAGCTGGGCAGCACCGTGTCCTTCAGCTGCTTCAGACCTGCAGCTCACACCACCTGCTGCCAATCATCCAGCCTGATGGAGTGTCCTTGAGTAGCTGCCTCCTGTTGCCACACAGCAGCGTTTGACCCTGACCTTTGACCCCTGACCTGTCTGTGAAAAAGGGTGGAAGAAGGAGAGCTCCCCTGCAGAGATTACGGGATTATGACTCGCTGATAGGACGAGGTTTGAAATCTCTTCTGTGAAAATGCAGCGAAGGAACACTCAGATATTTTTTTCCAGCACAAGAGGCTTGTTAAAGAGAGAGAGAGAGAGAGAGAGGGAGGGAGGGAGAGAGAGAAAGAGAAGGGCCAGGCCGTGAGTCGGAGTCTCCCCGGCCGGGGCCCCTCTCTAGACGGCAACACGTCATGGAACATTCCCGGAACCAGCCAGCGCACCACCCACCATCTCTCTCTCTCTCTCTCTCTCACACACACACAGAGAAAAAGAGGAAACAAACGATGAGCATATGAGATAAAGTCACTGCCTTTTAGAAAAAGAACTCGCCTTTAAAACAGTTTCCACCTTTGGAGACAAACTGTACAACAACAACAACAACAACAAAAACAACAACAACAACAACAACAACAACACAAAGCTGCTGTGGAAACCAGCCTGTGCCTCACTATCTGAGGAATGCCTCACTGTAGCAGCAACAAGGAAATACCACAGCAAGTGCGCTAAGGTCACAACTTCGACTCACTTTTCAACAGTGATTGTCGGGTTGTCATGGAGATCATTTTTAGGGGGGATTTTGCAGGTGAACTTCTGTGGATCACCCCCCCCCCCCCCCCCCCGAGACGCGGGTAGCTACAGACAGGCAGGGCTGGTTTGTTGCTGCACGAAAATGCAGATAATCGACCTTCCAGACAGCAACAATCACACCATCACACCTATCACTGGTTCCACTTTCACGGCTTCACCCTCCCTCCCTCTCGTCCTCCCCCCCCCCCGGCCTTGCAGCCACCCTGGCCGTGCAGGCTACTGCAAATTCCTCAGGATATTACGCAACCCGGGTAATCTGCATGCAATGCAATGCGTGCCCGGGGTATTCCCCCTGCATAGCCTTGCCCTTATAAGCTAAACAAAAGATCAAGTGCCATGAAAACAGCCCATAGTGTCCGTCATGGCGCAGAAAAGCCCGCTGTCACTGTGATATGTGTGAGAATATGTCCGGTGGAGGTTTCGTTTTTCCCTCCCCTGCCTCTCTTACCTTCTGTCTGCGCTCCGGCTGCGCGTCTCCGTCTCCGTGCGAAAATGACAACAAGCAAACCCGGTGACAGGAGATCCGATTCCGGGCGGGCTTGACACCTCGCTGGTTTGTCCGTTAGAACCAAGTCGGGGAGGCTGGTTGTTAGAAATCCACAAGAGCCGAGGAGCAGCGGTGGAAACGTCGCGGCGCGGCGGAGGAAAAGTTACGCGTAAAAATGGAAGGAATCCTTTCCGACCGGATTTGTGCCGCCGGAGCTCCACTACTGCAGTCAGACAGACAGTCAATGTGTGCGTCTCACTGTGTTGTGAGTGTGTATGTGTGCGTGTGTGAGGGTGAAATCAGGAGACACATACACACGCACACACACACTCATACGCACACGGGGGTTATTCCAAGCGCCACTTCCCAGAATAGCAGCATAGAGGAGCGGGAGAGAGAGAGAGAGTGAGAGAGACGGAGTGGCAGAGAGAGAAAGAGAGAGAGAGAGAGAGAGAGAGGGCGTGTGTATGTGTGTGTCTGCATGTGTGTGTGTGCGCGTGTGCTTGTGTGACGTCGTCGGATCCCCCAGCGCGCAACCAGGGCAGAGGGAGGGGAGGGGAGGGGAGGGGAGGAGGAGCAGTGGCCGAGGAGGAGGCTCTGTCTGCAGGCACAGAGAGAGCAGGATTCCCCGGTCACCTCTGGAGCGACCTGTCTGTCTGACTGTCTGACTGACTGAACGTCTTACTGCCTGGTTGTTGCCTGTCTTTCTCTATATTCAGCTGTGCCTTAAGACCGGAAGTGAATGTATAATGTAGACCTACTTTTTGCAGTACAAAGCAGGCATCATATCGTATCATATATTTTCATATAAATAAATATTACTAATACAAATGCAAATCTTACTAATATTAATAACAACCTTTAGCTTCTTCATAGTTAAACAATAATATATCCAGTATAACGTGAACCCAACTCATGATTACAATATTAAAGTCTACACAAGGATTAACCTTTTAGCCCCCGCTCAGACTCTTGCAGTTAATTTGGACTTTTCAAGGATTTATAACAATGTTTGACTGACAGAGTCTTTGAAGGTAGAGAGCATGACGGGGTGAATCTGCTGAGGGGCCCCAGGGTGATAAAATGAGCCTTTTAAGCCTCTATTAACCCATCTTCCTCCAGACCTTTGCAGTGGGTGCAGCTCTTCTACCTGCAGTTTATTGAGAGATATAACAGCACAAAATTTAGTTTTTAAGGCCCTGAAACGTTTTGACACCAGGACCTTCGTGACAACAGCTTCAGATCCACCTCAAGACCTTTATGATGCCAGCTGATATTGTGGTCTAACAGTGCATGATCGTCACTGCATCTATATGTCGTATTAGACCACCAGCGTCCGTCACAACTGGACTGAATAAAGTTTCCCTGTGAACACGAGAGCCAGCAAAACAATCATTAGCCCACACTAGCATAGCCGTGATATGCTCCACAGTAATGCTGACGGTTAGCCAGCTAGCGATAGCAACATTTGTCGAACACATTCATTACATCGCTAAAATCAGGTTAGCTAACATTAGCATGTCTACTGTAGCCGTCACTAATGAAAACAGACATGTAGCATTATGTAGCATCAAGTTACTGACACACAGAGAAGAAAAAACTGTTCTGAGTCCAGCTGGAGCCTTTAGCAGCTCATAGGGTTCTTCTCTCAGTAAACCAGACCAGTATCTGCTCCACGGTCAGACTAGCAAAGAAATTCAGCCTTGGACTGATCTGCTGGGACTCGCCTGCATGATGACACTGATGGAGCAGGTTAAAACGTTAAAACGTTAATACGTTAAAACGAAATCGTGTTTGAACGCTGCACTGCACCACCTCACCTGTGGGGGGCATGCACTAACAAGCACATGCTACTAGACAGGTTACCAAAACAAAGACCAGAGAGATTACAACACACACAGAGGGGGTGTGGCTTCATTCTCTGCCCAGGACGCCATTACTCCACTAGATCTTTACATAGAAAATTGTGGTTTGCTGCTGTATTATTGTTTAAAATCTTGTTTACAGAACCTTAAATTAAATTAGCATAAACCAGTAGCCAGGTGTCAGACCCTCCAATATTCATTAACAACTACGTCCCCTGGTTAGAGAAACAAATGAACAATTAAAACTCAGTAGTAAAGAAGTGAGATGTCACATAGCTAGCTAGTTAGGTACATTTGTTAAGAATAGTGACAGAAAAGTATCAACATCCAACATTTAGCAAGGAGACCCGACATTTTTAAAGGTTAAATTGTGTTCTCTTTGTTGTTTTTACAACAACGTTCTTAATGAAAAATGAACACAGTGACCAAAACATGAGCTTCTAATCTATCAATACATATATTACATGTTTATATTCATACCAGCTTCAATAGCACTAGAGGACCAAGAAAGTTCTGCATGGGCCAGCAATCCGAATGGAGGAAAAGTGGGTGGTAAAAGCCAAATATGTGAAATATGGTTTCTGTGCCATTTGTTTATGTGTGTAGGTGGACTGCATCCTTTTAGAGAAACATGTCCAACAACAGGACTCCAGCTTTGTCTGCCTGCTGCCACATCGTGAGGTGGATCCTCAGTGTTCAAACAACACACCCACTCCAGCTCCGAGTCCTTTCATCTGTGAAACACATTTAGGAGTACAGAGGACCTCATCCCGGCAGCCCTCCTGCTAATAAATTAAATCAGGTTTGATAAAGTCCCTTTGTCCTCTGGACAGGTTTCTAGAGACAGGCGGCAGGTTTAATAAGTGACTGGACACAGAGCGTCTTGTACCTGAGGCATCACAGGTTTGAGTCCTCTGACAGGAACAGCATCAACCTGCCTGAGATGTGAAATGCAGCGCGATGTAACCATCCACAGTGATAATAAACCAGTCTGACTTTTGCACAGCCTGTCGATGTCAGCCTTCCTTAAATAGCTCCCATTGTACCTGGGAACAGATAATGACACATGATGGTCTGATAATTGTCTCAATGTCATCTGTCCATTGACAGCGCTGTTAGAAGTTATCCAAGGTGGGAGAGGATAAGGAGGAGGAAGACACTGCTCGGCAGCCATTGATGGAGCAATTAGAAATACAGTGACCTTTTGTTGTTGAGTTTTCTCTGATGTCTCAGCTCTTTAGCACCATTTAGTTTCATCTCAAAGGGTTTTCATGTGGTGTTAGTCCTTTATTTGAAGCCTCACAGTGCACAGAGGCAGAAAAGACTCAGGAGAAGAATCAGCAAACGTCCTGGGTCAGATATTAACCACTTTACCTGAGCTCATGGAGCCACCAGGAGAAAAGTGTCATTTCTTCATGATGTGTTTCTCCATGTTCCAGTACTCACTCAGCACTCCAATAGGAGCGGTGTGAATTCGCAGGGTGTGAATCCCACCTTCCTCTAACAGCTCTGATACCAGTTAATCTGTCAGTTTATCTCTAATTCCAGCTCCTTAAAAACACTTCTACACATGATCTGTGCTGTGCTTACTTCAGGGTTAGGGGCAGAGTCGATGACCACAACTCAGCTGAATATCAACATATCAAGTAATTTATATCATTCATACACAAGAGCTGTTAAACACCATCCATCCATTTTTAAACCGTTTCATCTTAAGTTGGGTTGTAGTGGCAGCAAGCCAAACAAGGTAGTCCAGACGTCCCTCTCCCCAGCAGCGTTTTCCAGCTCTTCCTGGGGGATCCCGAGGCGTTCCCAGGCCAGATGAAATATATAATCCCTCCAGCGTGTTCTGGGTCTACCCTGGGGGTCTCCTACCAGTTGGATTAGCCCAGAGGACCTCCACTGGGAGGCACCAAAGACGCATCCTAATCAGACGGCCGAACCACCTCAACTGGCTCCTTACGACGTGAAGGAGCTCTACTCCAAGCTCATTGTAGTTGTTTTATCCGTGATCTCATTCTTTCAGTCACTACCCAAAGACTGACTTTGCCTTCTGGCTCAGCTCTCTCTTCACCACAACAGACCGGTACAACGCTTACTTTACTGCCCTGATCCGTCAT